CTTTAAACAGAATATCCAACAGGACCCCACATCCAGAGAGGGTCAAACTGCAACAGTTTTTATGTAGCTTAAACCCGTCTAGGGCACATACTTCACTGTGGGTGGAAACCTCACGGCAGCTGTCTGGAGCCTGGTGCTGTGGTTACCCACTTTGAAAACCACCAGACTAGGAGCTGGCTAAAGCCCCTTCCAGGCCTGAAATGGGATGTGCCCGTGGCCTAAGCCGAAGAGGACAGACGGCCCAGAGGGATGCCATTTGTCAAGAAGCCAAGTTTATTGTTAAGGGGTGACTAGGTTTCAAACAAGACAAACTGTGTTTTCCTCCTCTACGTCTGCTGCAGTCATCTGGGGAATGGGGCTAGTTACTGACTAGCTGGTGCACCGGGTTAGAGGTCCTGGGGGTTACAGTGTGGCTTGAGGCTCTGAACTTTCTTGCTCCTTGGGTTTGGGTTTTTTGTTTTTGTTTTTTTTTTTTTTTTTGAGAAAGAGAAAAAAGCATTTTCATTCTGTTTGTAACAAATTCAAGGCCCAAGTTTACGTCTCAAATAAGGGGGACAAAAAGCCATCAAATTGCTGTTGCAGGAGTGAACACCAAGATCCTTGCATGTGGGGAGAGGTGTCAATAACTTGGTAATTTCCCTTGACTGGCATTGACAAAGGTACAATGAGGCTGACTATGCTCTGAGAGAGTGAATGCTGTCTGAGAGGGATTGAGATGGAGGTTTCCATTACCTGATGAGCTCTGCTCCAGCCCCTCCCTCCTTTGAAGAATAGAGCCCTTAACTCCTGGAAGAATTGCCATCTCGGCACCTCCACCCAAACACTGCAGAAATTACCTTGAACTGAAAAGACACACTGAGCGCTTTATGTGCATGGAGAAAGGCTGATTTCGTGCTCAGCTGGAGCGCTGAAGCTTCAGGAGATGGTAACAGGTACTGGGGAAAGGGTGGGAAAGATCCATAAGAGCCTAGAAAAATGAGGGTTCATAGGCTTAGGCAGAGGCTGGTGTAGGTATAGGTACTGTGACTATACCGACACCTCTTCAGCCTTTTTTCCTTCAGGGCAAGTCCCAGATTTTCTAAGACACATCTGATTTGAAATATTTTCCTTCTGAAATATTTTTGCATTGATTTATTGACCTTATGAAAGGCACATGGAAGCCAGAGGGCAATGTGTGAGTTGGTTTTCTTTTTCCTCCATGTGCAATCCAGGGAAAGTTGCCAGGCTTGGGGACAAGCACCTTTACCCACTGAGTCATCTCCCAGCTCTGAAATGATCTTATTTTTAGGAAGAAATCGGGGAGCTGGAGAGATGGCTTAGTGAGTAAGAGCACTCACCGTGCAAGGAGGAGGACCTGAGTTCAGGTTTCCAGCTGAGCATGGCTGAGCACTTTGGGACAGAGACAAGTGCAGACCGGTGCTGGCTGGCCTAGACCATTCCATGAGCTCCAGGTTCAGGGAGAGACCCTGTCTGGATGGGATAAGGCAGAAGATGATAGGGCGGGATACCAGATGTCCTCCTCACATGCCACCCAGGCACCTCGTATACTCACATGTATACAGCACACAGCACATGACAAAATAAAAATAAAACATAGAAGCACTGAACCACCACTGTTAAGTGGTGGCTTCAGAAAGTAGCTTCACCCCTGCTTTGTAAGAGAGAAAACAGACTGCGGAGGGTGCCTTGGGGACAAACACCACTGAGAGGTCACAGGAGGACTGCCTGCCATTCTCAGCTGCTCTCAGATCTAGCTCTCGCTGGGCACCTCTGTGGGACAGTTTGCCTGCCGATGTGTTTAGACCTCAGGCTGTTCTGGTGACCATATGAGCTCGGAGGAGGGGAGAGTGTCCTGGCCCCTCTCTTGCTTTGGTTTCTGGTGCCACTTAGCTGAGTAGATTTCAAAAGGCTTTTGAATGGAATGATAAACATGGCATTGTTATGAACATCTGTAAGCAAAATATGAGAAGACCTCACCCAATGAATGCACAGCCCAGGCTCCTTCACCAGTAATGTGGAGTTTGTACGCTTGGCTAATGTGCCGAAATTAACCCAAAGTGCTTACCCGTTGCAGAATGCCTTTTCATATTTTCATCTGCATGGTTGTTATTACAAAGTGTAAGAATAATTCTCTACCAGGGCATTGAGGACTCTGAATAGCTCAATTAGAATCAATGGAGTGAGACAACAGCAGGCCAACTAATCAGCAGGTTTGCATAACAATCCTTTCAGGGAGTGTGTGCAGAATGCATGGTGTGTGTGTGTGTGTGTGTGTGTGTGTGTGTGTGGTGTGCATGTGTGGAGTGGGGGTGGTGGTGTGAAGAGTGTGTGTGTGTGTGTGTTTGGAGTATTATATATGTGTGGAGTGTGTGTGTGTGTATGGAGTGTGGAGGGTGTGTTGTATGTGGCACATGTGCAAAAAGAGAAAGCTAGAGCCAATTGAACCCCTTAAAGAAGCATAGAAAAACAAGGTTTCTTTAACCATAGGGAAAAAAGTTCCAGAAGAAAGACTGGGGTTATTGTCTTCACACTGTGTTACCATAATCCAGTATCATGTTTTTGCATGTAAGCCATTCATAGTAACTAATGTATTCATATCTATCTGTCTGTCTGTCTGTCTGTCTATCTATCTATCTATCCATCTATCTGTTATTCATTCATTCATTCATTCATTCATATGAAAAAGCCTCCACAAAAGGCAGAATCCTCACAACTATGTCACCCCAATCTGGGTTCTAAGAGAGAAAATCTTTCAAATGGTTTTAGGGAGGGAATGGTGGTCAATGAGATTTCAGATCACTGCAATATAAGCATTCCTGAAGGCAGAATGGTTGTGCAAGGTTTGTTGGCCATGACCAAGACTGTCTCACAGTGAAACCGAGGCCGTGTGCATGGTGTAAGACCCAGGAGTGTGACTCTAAAAGGGGTCAAAGGTCGGGCGTGAAACACCTGGACAACCAAGAAAGGGGAGTAGCATGCCTATAGTCTAAGAATTTGGGAAACTGAGGCAGGAGGACTACAAGTGCCCAGCCAGCCTGAACTACACTAGGACCATTATAAAACAAAACAACACAAACCACAGAACAGCACTCCAGGAAGAGAACATGCTGGCTTGTGCTACAGATTCAACGTTTGGCAAGTCCGAGAAAGAAAGTTTGAACACATATCCCAGGAGAATCAGTACTCTTAAAACAAGCTCTGTGAGTGAGAAGGTAAAGAAATCACATTCCAATGGAATGTGGGGCCTATGCAAAGGATGAAGGGTCTCCGGGGAAATGCAAGATGATAGTCACAGCCTTTGGTGGAGCTGTAGAGGCCTACCTTTTGCCTCTCATTGTTGAAGGCCTAAACTCCATTACCGTTCTCTAGTGCTACCCTAGGTTAATCCAAGTGACAGAGAATGACCTTTGCAGACTAAACTCAACGTAGACTGACACAGCATACATTAAGGGTGGCATCTGATTTGATTTAAAATGAGAATTTGTCTGTCTGCCTAACTGGCCTGGTCTCATTGTGTCTTCTACCTGGAAATGATCTCCACAGAGGGTCAACAGATGAGAAGGTACAGCAGAAGAATCTGGCAGCACAGCAATTAAGGGTGCCATGGTTTAGAGGCTGCATGTCTGCTCAGAGTACTCTAGAGGGATCAGCAAAACCTCCTACTACAGGATTCGCAGGCTCATCAACCTCTTGCTGGGATCCCATTCTTTCAAGGCTAGCCAACTGTTGTTCTAGGTCCAGTAAGTCTGAAGCCAGTCTCTTACAGCCTAAGTGATGGCCACTCCTGTACCTCAACACAGACATCTTTTTCTTCCTTTCCCAAGGGACTGCACTATTTAAAAGACTGAAAGAAACATCAGCACCCAGTAATTTGTATAGCATAAGGCTCCGGTCTCAGGCAGGGATGAGGACAGCCTGGCACGCATTTATCACTGAGCCCACTCCTAAGAGTCCTATTTGGATGTGTGAGAACCAAAGTTATGTTTTAAGTTTTAATTACCGTGCCTAAGAGATCCATAAAACAAAAATGTCTCTAACCTGCAAGCCCCTTGCCCAAGGACAGACAGTTTTTGAGATGGTGGAGGTTGCTGCTTGTTTTCACTCAGCTAGACAAGTTTATTTGACTCAACTACACTGGATGTGCTTGACCACATGTAGGCAGGAAGTGTGTGTGTGTAGGAAATACGTCAGGATGTATGCTTGTCCCTGGTTGGACGTAGGCAGGAAGTAAACAGACGGGAAGTACATCGGGATCTATGCTTGTCTCTGATTGGACCTGATGGGAAATAAAGACAGTGGCCTCATGGGCTTGGCTTTTTAAGCATCTGCAAAATGTGACTATCACCATTTTCCGGGAACCTTGAATGGTCCTGGCCAGAGTCCATCATCCTGGCCAGTATTTAATTAAACTTTGTTTCACATTTGGTTCAGAAATTATGGTAGTGGTCTTAGTCTCAGTGGATGGGATTAACAGATGCCAGGCACCCCTACCCGTGGTAGTTTGAATGAGAATGCCCCCATAGGCTCATATATTTGAATACTTAGTCCCAGTTACTAAAATTTTCAGGAAAGATAAGTAGGTGTGACTTTATTGAAGGAGGTATGTCACTGGAGACAGGCTTTGAAGTTCCAAAAGATTCCTGACATTCCCAGTGTGCCTCTGTTTTCTACTTGCAGATACCAGGTGAGCCTCAAAGGAGAACTGCCAAGTTCAAAGTTCAGCCCTGCCCAGTTTCCTGAACTAAAAGAACAATTATTCCAGTCAACTAAGTGTTATGGGCTTTTTTTTTTCACAGCAAAAAAGTGGAATACATTCCACAGGATGTCCATTATCCTGTACAGCTATATAGGAGACAATGAGGTGTATTTACAGAAATCGTTTTTTTAAAAAAGACAGAGAAAATATGTATTTTTAAATATATTTCCATTTCAAAGATCTTGTCACCCACCAGCAGGAAGGAGCCCTCCCGTTCTTCCAGTGATTGAACAACTGTCCCTACCTGTGCAGACTTCTTTGTAGGTGGGATTGCGTGTGAAGCCTCCTGCGAAGCCCACTTGGGTTGAATACACGCCTTTCAAGAGCCAGAACTTGCGCTCAGCCCCCCAGAAGCAGCCCATTCCTGCAGAGAACAAAGCAAAGATAAATCATGGATCCAAAATAAGGCGATCCCTATGTGTCACCGTACTTGTCTGCTGGAAGGGAGAAGCTGTCCTGCCATCTGATGATCAAAAAGGCCCAAAGGTTTCAACGCTGGAGATGTATAAAGCAAAGGTTTTAGCACTGAGGAATAATGTAGTGCCAGCGAGATGGCTCAGCAGGTGAAGGCTTGCTTTGAAAGCCTGGTGACTAAAGTTCCATCCCCAGGGCTACAAGAGCCACATACAGTGGCTCACATCTGCAATCCCAGTGTTCTTGTGACAAAATGGTGGTGGGGACAGGAGAATTACCCTGAACCATGTGCAGAACAGCAGAAATGACAAGAGGCCTCAACGGGTAGAAGGAGAGAACCAGTTCCCAGGAAGCTGTCCTCTGTCCTCACATGCAAATATACACACATGTGAACAGTAACAAACATTTTAAAACTTCTTAAAATAATTTGAAGATAGCAAAAATACATTTTTCTGAATAACATAATAAGAGTCTATTTTTAAGAAGATTTTTACATTTACTTAATAAGTTAATAAAAATTTATGTAATGATTGACCTCAGGATCATTGTAAGAAAGACATGTAAGTCTGGGTTGATTGAAACGGGAAAATATACAAGATCAATAAAGATTGAGACAGTTATTGCCAATTAACAATTTAACAGATGTGTTCAGCTTTAAAAAAAAAAAGTCACAATAAATTTGCAAGTGATAAAGCAATGCTCACCCAAAAGGAACATTTTCTGAGTTTTATTACTGAGCACAATGAGTGAGGGGGTTTGGGCCAGGGTTGGGGGGCAGCTAAGGAACTACAGGCAACCAACAAACTCCATCCGCAATCACCACGTTTAGGCCAGCAGTCACCAGATCCCTTTGGCTATCTGATGCAAACCAAGGCTTGCCTCTGCCAAGCACACATGCCCACATCATGAAGGCTGTACCGCCCCAACATAGGACCTCCACCTCCTATGGGAAGATCCCCAGCTGCTCAGTACACCTGCCCTTCTCTGACCCGTTTCCACATACATGTGAGCAAGACTGCTTCCTCTCCCAAGGTGTATATGCCTTTAATAAGTCAGATATGATTTTATTGGTTCCATATTTGTTGCTGTGATAAAATACCACGACCAAGGGCAACTTAGGAAGAGTCCATCTCAGCTTACATTCCCAAAGAGTGGATGAATGTGGAATGAGGGAAGGCATGGCAGCAGAGACAGGAAGCTGAGCGATTAAATTTCAACCACCCACAGGAAGCCAAGAAGGATTGGAAATGGGGTGACACTATGAATCCTTAAACCCTCTCCCAATGATGTACTTCCTCCAGCAAGGCTCCACCTCCTAAAAGTTCAATAACCTCCACACACAGCACCATGCACCGGGGACCACAAGTTCACCTAGCGAAGCCTATGGGACACATTTTTTATCCAGATCACCACACTAAGTTCTAGGTAAGATAAGCGGGCACATGCCTTTGGAGCGCACACTCTGCACTAGCTAGACATTGGATGGGACTATAAGAACATCTACTTTATGACATTCTTAACATCTGTTAATATTCAGCTTCTGAAAAATTCAAAGCAACATAGTAACTTAAAACAGAAGGTGAACAGAAAGTTCTACAGTATTCAGACATATTATTCTTGCTAAAATGGGAGCAGAAATATAACAAAAATAGGTTAATAGCCTTCAACAGTGATAAATCAAAATAATGAAATTCAATGCAGTAAAAATTACCATTATGTTGATAGTACAGCATGTATATGATTATATCATAATTATCTACAGCTAAATTAAAAGGGAAAAACACAATTATATGCATGCTTTTATTATAACTATAAAGAAATAATCATACCAAAATAGACTGGAGAGAAATATACTAAAATTGTAACCAGGGTTTTATCAGAGTGATGTATGTGAAAAGACTTCTTTATATTTTTTTGGAATTTTCTGTCTCTGGGTGCGGTGGTTTACATCTGTAATCCTAGCACAGGAAAGGCTGGGGTAGCAGGATTTGCTGCAAGTTCAGGGCCAGCCTGGGCTACAGAGTGAGACTCTAAGCTCAAAAAAAATGTTTTTTTCTGTAGTAGATGTCTACTAGTTTAAAAATGTAAAACAAACATTTTTAAAAAGAATACTTAAAGACAGCATAAAAATATATGTACTTTGATTTGTCTGTTATAATACATATAATATAATATAATTTGTCTTTCCTGTGGCCAAGTGAACTGTTTGCTGGTAGTTAATATAAAAATGCACCGAGCATCTTTAAAACTGAGTGTCTGTTTCTGTGGCACACAGGGTCACTGGTAGGCTGGTTTTCTTTCAGTGCCCTGGCTGAGTGTAGCGCTAATCTAATTGATCTTAATAATAAAAACCTGGAGTCAGATATTAGGGGGTGAAAGATGAAAGGCCAGAGAAGCCACCAGTCACTAAAGTTCTTATCTCTATGAAATCCTCAGACCCGAAAGGGGCTGAGCTCCTGTCTCCTCCTGCCTTATATTCTTCTCTCTGCCCTGCCATTTCACTTCCTGTCTCCACCTCCCTAGTGCTGGGATTAAAGGCATGAGATTCCCCAATGCTGAGATCAATGGTGTGTGCCACCACTGCCTGGCCTCTATCCCTCTGATCTCCGCCCTCTGATCTTCAGGCAAGCTTTGTTTGTTAGAGCACAAACAAAATATCACCATGGCTGAGCAAAGACAGCAGGGCATGGCTGGAGAAGAAGGGGAAAGGGAGTTGAGCAGCCCTGCTGGGGTACCAGGAGTTGTGCTGAGCTGAGGACACCTACCACGGAGCATCTAGCATCTGTGGGGCTCTGTGAATGAAACAGGGCAGCACTGTACCACGGCTAACAGTGATGGTACACAAGGTTGTCATGGACTTCCACAAAGAGAGTACATTTGAAAAGGCTATTTGACCCCCACCCCTCCCTGACCCTTCAGTGCATACATATATATTCCATATAAAATATATACACACGTATACATATATATCTGGATAGTTTGTATGTGTACTTGTGCATTTGTGTGTCCATGTGTATGAGGTTAAATGTTGACATCAAGTGTCTTCCTCAGTTGCTCTCCACCACAATTTTTTGAGACAGGGTCTCTCACTGAACCTGGAGCTCATGGCTAGGCTAGCTGGCTAACAGTCTCTGGGGATCTACCGACCTCTACCTCCCCAGTGCTGGGGTCACAGATGTGACCACCACACCTATACGGATTCTTATAATCTGAACTCAGGCCTTTTGATTGCAATACAAAATTGTTACTGACTGAGAATCTCCCCCAGACCCTGGAATAGATTTTTGAAAACAGAGTTAGAAAGATTCCTTGACAGTGGGGAAGCAGGACGAGAGAGAGACAGAGACAGAGAGAGCGAGCGCTTGGGCTAACTCTCACATCGCTGGTTGTCATGGAGAGCACTGCGCACAGAGTCCAAATGTATCAGAAAAGATCAAGCGTTCTAATCGCCCTCCTTAAATGCGTCTTAGTATCTGATAGAGTGAATCTTCTTACATTACTCCTCAAAGTTTTCTTTGCTATTCTGGCCCGCTAACATTCTCAATTTATTTTAATATCAGCTTATCAAGTTCCATAAAATATCCTCTTAGGATTTTTACTAGAACTATATTGAACTTATATATTAATTTTAAAGTATTTTGGCATGTTAATAATATTGAGTCTTTCTATCAATGAGGCTAATATCACTTTTCATTTATGCAAATTTTCTTGGAGATTCTTTGACACCGTGATACAGTTTCTGCAGAAACTGACATGTTATTATTTGGCACTGTTTTGTGTGACCTGATTTGTGTTGCTCTTACCAATACCATGTTCTTCTATTACATGTTCTCACTGCTTCACACTATAGCATGAATCTTGGTTTACTGGACTTTCTCTGAAGCACGATTAATAAAAGCTCAGAGACAGATATTGGGGTTCAACCTGAAGATCCAAAAAGCAAAGCAGCCAGCCACTGGCTCTTACCTCTACCTCAGTCTGAAATGGCGATCCTGCCTCCAGGAGTCTCAGAATGAGACTGTATCTGAGAGCTGTCTCCTCCTGTTTTATAATCCTCTCTAGGACTGGGATTAAAGGTGTGCACTGCCCAGTTTCTATAGCAACTAGTGTGGCTACTGGGATTAAAGGTGTGTGTCACCATTGCCTGGTCTGTAAGGCTGGCCAGTGGGGCTGTTTTACTCTCTGGTCTTCAGGCAAGCTTATTTATTAATATACAAATGAAATGCCACTTCATTCCTCTATACTCAAAGAGCTCTGAGTAGTTAGGTCTACTGTTTGTCTCCAGGCTCTCCTTGGTCCTCCAATGTGAGAGTTGCATACCCTCCCACCTTGCCGGTACCTTTGTACAACGCGGAGGAAAATGGTGATGTAAAATGATCTCCCATCCCTAACCAAGACGCCAAGTGACAACTGCCTGCAAAGGAAAAATCCAGGTTTTTTTCCAATGGAGTCTCATTAGATACACAAACCACACTTCAGGGTAGGCCCTGTGCACAGTAGTAATGACCAACCACAAAACAAACTCAATGGTACCGTTGTATATATTTGTCTTGTATTACTATGTTTGGGCAATTTTTATCATACTGGCCTTTTGCTTGTATGGTTTCTGATTTTGTGTTTTTATGGGTCTTGTTTTATTGTGTGTGAACATTTGTATTTATATGTATATTGTGTTTTGTGTGTTTCTTATCCCTTTTGCCATTTTTATTTTGTTTTGTTTAATTCTGGATTATTTGATTTTTTTTTTCCTGTTTGTTTTCTGAAGAGAAAGAAAGAAGGTATGGAGTTGGGTGGGAGGCGAGGCCGGGAGGATCTTGAGGAGATAGGGAGGGGAAAATTGTGATCAAAATACGTTGTATAAAGTTTCAACAAAAAATAACGAGAAAACACCTAATATCATACACACCTTACTGAGAACGTCTCACTAGACAAGAAGTACATATGCACACT